CAACAAACATGCCAGTTCTCAAAGAGTCCAAATTGATTTTAGTCATGCAACACCTCCACATAACTCCGCCATAGACACACCGGTTGCTGGAGTACCAAAAAGCTGTGATGACAGTATTTTAATTGATCCACGACAATCGGTGGCATATGGAATGCGTGATGGAAATTTTCTGGTGCTTCATAGCCAATATACTACAAGAGTGAGACGCTACAAGTGAAACGCTGTGATAGTAATTTTTCTTAAATTTCCTTCTTTTATTAGCAGTTACATTAAGAAGCTCATAGAGGACAGAGCTGTTGCTGAGGAAGGTGTCGAGTTACTGTCTCTGTATCTAAAACTGAATAACTCAAATCAAATTGGATTGCATTTGCATAATATACCTAATATCGGAATCTGTTTTGATCGTAAAAAATACAACTTGCAATCATTTAGATTATAGTTTTGAAAGAAATTGATTGCAATCGTAAATTGCGTAAAAATTGTTAATAGCAATCTGCCTTAAATTTATGTTCCCCATATAACAGGTATAAAATACGTTAAATCCGCACTATCTGCATTAACAAAAAATATACATTGGAATATTTAAAATAAAACGATTCATATTTATTTTCTAATAAGAATTATTTCTTAATTGAAAGTATTTTATACTAATATAATGTAGTGGTTAATGTTTAAAAATGAATTCGCAAAATGTCCGCAGCTCAGGTTGATTTGAAGAAATCCGTTTATAAATTTTTCGAATTACATCTACTTGAATATAGGATAGGCAGGGTTGCATACAAATGGTAGTTCCGTAAATATTTAAAATATATTAGTTCATTCAATATTTACATCTGGGCCAATAAATAATGGCCCCTATTATGAGTTACATTCGATCTTCGACTGTGGTCGATAGTGCTGATCGAACGAATTTTCATTTGGTATTATGGCGCTCATTCGATGAAGAATAGCGCTATTGTGAACTTCGGTCGTTTATGTTGTTCACAATAGTATATTTTTCACCGCTGAGAAGCTTTGTTTACAAATCGAGCAAACTAAATAGTGTGCTTATACATATTTATGTAAATTTGTGCAAATTAAAATGAAATAAAAAAGAAAGCAAGTTTATAAAAACGTGGCAAAAATTAGTACAACGAAGTTCTGGTGTTCAACGATTCGTCAGAGGATGAGAGTTTAGTGAGCTGACCAGGAGTAGTAAATGTTCAAGAGAGTTTAAGTGTAGTCATTACAATATATTTTGACATAAAATATATTTAAGACATTTGTCTACAGATTTACTAAAAACTTCCGACTGTCTAAAGAGGTGTTTGTGAGCCAAATCTATTTAAAATATTTTAAAACTATCCACAGCTCTATGATTTGTTCTCAGAGATCGTGCCAACTGAGTATTGGGATTTTCTTTCACAAGTAAAAGCAGCCTTTCGAGCTTGTGTTTTGTATTCACGACGTTAAAACTGCGTGAAATTGATAAAAAATTGTTTAAAATTAGTGTCCACCCGCCAAAAAGTAAGAAAACAAATGCAAAATCATACATTTTTCACAATTTTCTAACACTTCGCTACCCCATCGAAAGCAAAATTCTGTTCGACAGAAAATTCGATACTCAAAGAAAATTTCGACACGGTTGCATAGCTCATAATACGAATTTCACTCTCGATCTTCGATAACCAGGAAGATCGAAAATCGAATGCAACTCATAATAAGGGCCAATAACAAATATAGCCGAAAAACAAAGTTTCGATTTACAAGTCTATTCTGCACGTTACCGAAGATTTTGTAACCGGAAAATTTTATTACCAAAAAATGTTACCAGTTCTTGTCACCACGATTCTAGGAACGTTGGTAATGCAGTTAAAATATTCAGCAATTCAGCTATTCTGAATTGTGCAAATTCTGGCATTGCATATTTCACGGGGTAATACTTTGTTACCAGCTTATGAGATGGTAACAAAATTTACCGGTTACAAGAATACACAGAATGCGAAAAGGGTTTAAAAATTTACAGACACCTTAATTACCGGTTACAAACTTTTTATTACCAGCGCAGAATAGACCTGGAAAACGAGTTTTTGTAACCCCCCATAAAATTACGATTAATTTTAAATACGAAAATAACTAAATTTTTCATGGAGGTATTTTTTTTAATATACCTTGTTTATACCTACACAAGAACCGTATTAACATATTTAGATTTAGAGCATAATCAACACAATATATGCACATAAATATGTATTATTTCACAGATCTCAGGGTCAGCTTAGAAATACGTCACCAAAATTATATAAAATTTAAGTCGGAATTATTTTTATTTATAACGTAAAAGCGCTATCTGACCCAATCTGATAAGTATATTTCCCCTAAAGTTAACCGATTTTATTTAATTTGTCTCTCGTGAATATATAATAAAATGTTCAGATATGTACATATATTGTAAATTTTTGCTTTAATTTTCTATCCTTTTCATATTTAATTAAATACCTTAAGATTAAAACTTAAACGAAACAGCACAGCAACCCTTTTCTGTTCATCTTGAGAACACAAAACCCTCTTTTTTTAAAATTCGGCGCTGCACAAAATCCTGGCTTTTATATTTTCCAACAAAATACCACTTCGCAACCCTGGATTTGCACGTAGCATTTCATTCGGGTCATAGTTTTGCAACTTCGGGCCATTCGGTGTTGTATGCCATATTGGCTGCCATATTGTTCACACTGTCATCGCCATATTGAGCACCCTGTCAACTATCTGTCAACCCTAAGATATCTCACTTGTATTCCTCCACAATGATCGCGATAATTTGTTCTTATTCGAAAGAAGTTAATATGTTACTATAGCTTCGAAAATAATTCGAACTTCGAAATAATGGTCAAAGTTTAATTTTTATTTATCGTTCATATAGTGTGCCAGGCAAGCGCATTTAACAAGTGGTGTTACCCGTGTACATATAAGCATCGTACAGTTTCCTAAGTAAAAAACATTATCAGCTGATTGCCGACAATTGCCTACAGCTGAGACACCTGTTTTTTGGCATTTGCTCTTAAATTTTACAATTTTTTAATTTCTATTATAATTTCTTTCATTTCATTCAAAAATACTAAAAGGAAGGTATGTGCGTTCGCCGGCAAATGCGTCACGCCGTTAATGTCAAATAATATTGAACATGTGCCTTTATATGCCAGCTGTTACAGACGACGCCGTTACGAATGCATCAACGCAGTTGCTGTCAAAAGTAAACCAACTCACTACTTTTATGTTGCGTTCATGCGTTGACATTTGAAATTACATTTGTGGATATGCTTATCAGCTGTTTTTTGTTTACAAAACAATGAGCGCCACGACGCAAGGTGTGTAACAGCAAATTTTTCAAGTCGTCAACGCACCAACGAGAGCTATTGGCATCAAATGTATGCAAATTAGATTTCCAAACGAGCAACTGTTGAATACAGGAAAAAATTTATATTATATGGGTCCGATAAAGTGCACTACTACCGTGTATAAATTTGTCGACCTTCTAATAAATCAAGCAATCTTATTGTATCGTCATCGCCGCCAGTCACCAAGAAATTTCCACTTGGGTGAAATGCAACATCATTCTCCGGCGACGAATGCACTGTATTAGCTCGCCTTCAGCTGTCAAATATCTTAACGCGGTTACAACTTAATACTAAAGCCACCAGTAGCCCGTTTCTGTAACTTTTCTCTACCGATTATTTCTCTACTGGTAGAGAAAATACGTCACTCTCACCTACTCAAGGCGAATTAATATAAGGTGATAGCAGGAGTACAAAAACAAAAATTTACATGTATTTTGTTTTTGCTTTGGCGGTATAAACTGTCAAAATCTGAAAGAGTGTGTGTAGAAGTTCAAACAAAATTTTTCAATTTGATATCAGAAGCCGTGCGGCGAAACACATACACAAAATCAGCTGAGCTAGTAAAGCTGAAATTAGTCAAGAACGTAAACCTACCGGTACGTAAACCCGAGTCAGCTGATACGATCTGTCTTACCAGAGCGCCATGTAAATGAAAACTCAACACCGCAGAATTTTTCTGTAGTTGTAGCCTGTAGCGCAGAAATCTGCGGAATTTAGATTTTTCCGTGTCAGCTGATTTCTTCCTTCTATAGATGGTTGCCACTTCGTCAGTTTCGCAAATGGTAAAAAAGGTATAATTTCCTATTCAAAATACGTTTAAAATATTTGAAATTTACTATTGAATAAGGTTTTTTGTTGAAAACTAAGTAGTTTATATTTAGCTACGATCTTATAGCACGAAAAATTGTAGATGAAAAGGTAAGTTTATGAAAAGGCATTGATGAGTGGCAACACTGTAGTAAGCAACACTGAGGGCTCCAGTAATCGACAAAATTCTGCGTATACAGACTGCGTTTAAGAATACGTTCTGCGTTCTTGACTAATTTCAACTTAACACCACCTTATATAAATTCGCCTTGCACCTACTAATTAGCAGTAGAGAACAGGGCGGCGAATTCATATCTCAATTCGCCTTGGTAGAGAATTGTTACAGAAACGAGATACAGATTACCGTCTGGATGCCATGCCAGCTATCGTCCCATACCTCTTCCCAGGGTGAACGTTCGCACACATTCGCCTGAAAATGTATCGGAAATTCTTAACTTGTCATCGCCGCACGATGAAATTAACTTACCATTAGGGCTGAATTTTGCTGCGCGCACCCATTTGTGTGTCCAGTGAAAGATGTGTATTTTGAATCAGTTGGGGTGTTCACAGTTCGTTCCAAATAGTAGCTGCTTTCCAAAACGTCAAAATACAGAGCATCAGTGTCTTTTATTTCTAAACCTCAGCAGATTGTAATTCCAAATGTGCGCAACCAAGGTTAGATGCTAATTTTCAACTAGGTTGCGCAAATTAGACCTTTTCTTCAAGTGCTGTTTAGAAATAAAAGACACTGATGCTTTGTATTTTGACGTTTTGGAATTCACCCAGTGTCTCAAAATGTAGACGTCTACATTTTAAGACGTTTTCTAACCGTAAAATCTGTGGTGTTGTTGTTTCCCATACAAAATTGGAAAACGACGCCGTCTACATTTTGTCACACTCAAAGGTATGTTTTTTACGCGTCTACATTTTGCAACCTCGCAGCAGGGCTGCATTATGGCAATACTAATCACATTTTATTTTATTTATTGGGCACGTTTTCTGTATTTGCATTTAATTTGAGCGCAATTTCTGATAAAAGAAACAAATCAAGGAAAAGAAATAACAAATATTACGAATTGGTAATTAAGTTAAATAATTACAATTTTTCAGAAACAAAATCGAAAGGCGACATATAAAAAATGCATGCAAGGAATAAATGTCTGGCAACACCAGCAAAGTTTTGAGACGATTTTGCGACGACTGCTAGAAAGGGGTGCTCACAGTTTGATGCTAAAGATGTCTCAAAATGTGGACGTCTACATTTTCAGACACAATTTGGAACGAACTGTGAACACCACAAATATTTTGATAGCTGTTCGCAATTTTTCTAGTCTGCAAACGAATAAGCTGACGAAGATGCACAAAAATTCAAGCACATTGTTGCATTCTACCGTACTTTTTAAAAGCTTTAAAATCTTAAAACATATGTAAAAAACTTTTATAATCTGAATATTTCTAATGTCGCAATCAAAATGAAATTTTGTAAATAGCATTTTTAAAAAGCAATCATTACATATTTTTCAAGTGTTTGGGCATATATGTTACCGTTTGAATAACTAATACTACCAAGTTTTAAGAGACTATTTAATGCAACTCAGGTCAAAAAAGAGCAGTTTAGACCAAAATAAGCAACTCTAAAAAACAGATGATCTCAGCTGTGGCCCAGGATGACGTCTATTGCTAAGATATCTGAATTGTATTTGTACACAATGATCGCAATATTAAAAATAAAAATCGGGCATTACCAATCGCCAGAAAATAAATGTAATTCAAACCATTCACTATGATGCAAACTAGGGGTCTGTTCGAGGCACGTAATAAAGGCGGCAACTTTCGAATTGATAAAAAGTTGCTAGAAATTCACACTAAACGTGCTACTTTAATAATTCGCACAAAACTGCGGTTGCAACTCGAACAAGCTCTAGATCTAAAAAATTGATGATTAAAAAAAAATGCACTATAAATACAAATTTTGAAAAAATATGACGTAACCGTTGAGCACCATCGGATTTACCAATCGCGGGATAGTAAAACAGAAAACTTAATTCCAAAGCAAGGTCGGCCGTCAAAAAAAAATTTTACACTTCAGAGATTTTGACTCTTACGAAAAAGGCTTCTTGTAAGCATGGCTAAATTAACTCGATAAAATATATTTAATCAGGATTACATATTAAATTTCTATATTGATGTACTGAATAATGCCTTTCATTTTATGAGACGATTATGGTGTGCTTTATAAATGGGCTGTCGTGGGCTGTAGAGAAAATGTAGTTGCGTTCCAGCAGCAGTACGAACAGCACGAATTTAAGGGATTTTACTGGATCTGTTCCCGCACGACACCTTATATAAGGTTTATTATTGTGTTTTCGCTGTTCCTGTAAATGCTGTAAAATCCTGCAAAACCTGCTGTTCGTACTGCTGCTGGAACACAACTTGTATATATGTATCATGGTGTAGAGCTGTAGCAAACTCCTGTCTCGAAGTACCGAATCGTTACTCACATAATAATCTCGTTACTCGCATGTTCCGTATATGCACCATCAACGTGAATCAATACAACCACAGTATATACATTAATAAACCTTTTCGCAGTTTTTCACCAATTGGTCCCGCAGGAGTACTTTTGGGTTATGTGCAGCGTTTTCGTTTAGCGCGTACGGCAACACTACTGTTGGGAATTTCGCCTCACGATTAGTAAAAGGTATTTTCGGGGATTAGATATATATAATTGTGTTATTTAAGGACAAAATGTAGGTTAAGTATATCAATGCTTAATTAAGAATAATATCAATAGTTAAGTACATAATTAACGCTTGTGTTTCTATAAACTGGAAACTTACATCGTATTTTGTATGAAAAAATGTGAGTTTACAAAGAAAAACTCTGAATTCCCGAATTTGTTTAAGTCTTTATTCCGAAAACAAGGGCTGACTTCCAAAACGTACCAATACAATGTTTGGACACTGTTCTACTACAATACCATTTGCTATGAATTGCTACCGTATAAATTCAGGACACGCATTTGCTTGGCGAGTGCGTTGGTTATTTAGGTCATAAGTTCAGTCAACACATTCAATGGTCCATTGCCCGGAGCTGCTCCAGATGATGAGATGAGCAGGTTTTAGTGCCTCTGGCTACAAGATGGATATCTTAATATTGAAAAATAAATAGCAATTATCTCTTTAAAATTATAAGAGAAGTGTTTGTTTACTTCTGCCATGGTACGGTTGTTGCTCCCTTTCATACCACAGTAAAGCCCAAAATACAATAGCGCAGTGGCAGTGGCAGTGACAGTCTTTAAAATCAGCTGTTCCTGCTAATATTGGCAGTCACTGCCGTAGCAAACACAATACGGCGTTGTCAGTGACTGCCTTTTTTGGCATTTGGAATTTGGGCTAAACTGGGCAGGACTGCTAGCTGCCACTGCTGATGTTGTTGCTGCTGTTGTTGTTGTTGCTGTTGTAGCGGCTACAACAACCCCGCCCAGATCGGTTGGTATCTCAGTCGTTGTCGTCGAGTTCCATTAACGGCAGCCCGAAGAAGCGTGCAGCCTCTATGGGGGCGGTCCGCAGGGGCAGCGCCGTTAGGGTTGTGGGGTTTTCCGGGCATGCGAAGAGATGTTTCGAGTCGTGAGGGGTCTCTCCGCATGCCGGACATTCATTCGGCACATCCGCATTTAGCCTACTCAGGTAAGAGTTCAGCCTGCTGCAGTAGCCAGAGCGAAGTTGGGCTATTGTTGTTCTTGTATCCCGAGGCAGATGGAGCTCCGTCGCGTCAATGTCCGGTGTTTGTGTGCCTAGAACGGCATTCACAGGTCTAGAGTCTACATAACTCGAGACTGATTCCCTGTGAATGCCGTTCAGGGCCTGTCGGTATTTTGACGGGTCCAGAGGCTGCTTAATGAACCTCTAGACTTCGTCCGTCAGTTCATGTAGATGCCTCCCGACGTGTCTAGGCGAGGGCTCCTCTGCAAGCAGCTGTCTGTTTGGGTGGCCACATCTGTGGCTCCCAACCAGAAACTGCTTGCAGAGCATTATGTTATGCTCCCCAATTGGGAGCATTTTCGCCTCGTCATGGAGGTGGTGTTCGGGTGACATCAGGAGGCATCCGGTCGCTGTCCTGAGTGCGGTGTTCTGTGCTGTCTGTAGCTTCATCCACTGNGTGTTCAGTGCTGTCTGTAGCTTTATCCACTGCGTCCTACTAATCCCCGGTGACCACACTGGTGCTGCGTAGTTTAAAACCGGCTGCCCTATTGCCTTGTATGTTGCCAGCAACGTTTCTTTGTCTTTGTTCCAGGTACTGCCGGCTAGCGACCTGAGGGCTTTGTTGCGGCTCTGTACTTTGTTGACAATAGCGGTTGCGTGCGCAGAGAAGGAGAGGAGGCTGTCGAATGTTACTCCGACTATTTTGGGGTTATTCACCGTCGGAATTGGTGTATCATCGACGTGAATTCCCAGCGGTAGCCTGACCTCCTTCGTCCAGGTGGCGAACAAGGTCGCAGAGGATTTCGTAGGGGAGAGGGCTAGACACTTTGCAGTGAAGAAGCGAGAAAGATCGGAGAGATACCCGTTTACTTTCGAACTTTACTCTCACAGGGACGGTTACGGTTAAGGCCACGAGTTATCTGAGTGTTTATGGCGTTAAGTGCTGTTGTTGTACTGTGCACTTTACGGAAACCATGCTGATGCTTCGCTGGGGTCAGGTGATTTGTGAAGTACGGGAGTAGCAAGGCCTCGAGTGTCTTCGCTACCGGGGAAAGGAGTGTAATCGGACGATACGAATCTCCTTTGTTGGCAGGTTTCCCCGGTTTGAGCAGTGGGACCACTCTCCCCACCTTCCAGATGTCTGGGATGATGAGAGTGGCCGTAGACAAATTGAGGACCTCCGTTAGGTACGCTACTCCCGCAGGACTCAAATTTTTCAGCATCAGCATGCATATTCCGTCGGGACCCATGGCTTTGGAGGCTTTCGCCTTCCCGATGGCCACCTGAACTTCACGGCAAGTGAGAGCAAGGGGGGCACAATTTGCTGGCAGTTTGTGCAGCCTTCTGGTCACTCGACGCTTGGCTTTGTCNTGATGAGAGTGGCCATTGACAAGTTGAGGACCTCCGTTAGGTACGCTACCCCCGCAGGACCCAAATTTTTCAGCATCAGCATGCATATTCCGTCGGGACCCATGGCTTTGGAGGCTTTCGCCTTCCCGATGACCACCTGAACTTCACGGCAAGTGAGAGCAAGGGGGGCACAATTTGCTGGCAGTTTGTGCAGCCTTCTGGTCACTCGACGCTTGGTTTTGTCCACCGGAGGATGCAGTATGCGCTACCGGCTAAAGTAGCTCGCGCATCGCTCCGGGTCTGACGAGGCATGGTCGCCGAAAGAAATTTCGACTCTGTCGTCGTGCTTCGTCGGATTGGACAGTGGCCTCACGGTTGACCAAAGCTTACTCACACCAGAGGTGAAGTTACAGGTCTTCAGATGTTCTTCCGCTTAAGTACGTTCACT